CTGTGCGCGGCGGCACCGAAGACGCGCGGCGCCGGGCCTCGCGGCCGGCCCTCCGCGCGGCCCGCCCGACGCCCAGCGGCCCTGCCCGCCGCGGCGGCCGCGAACACCGCGGCCGGCGCCGGCTGCGCCGCGTCCTCTCTGAGGGCGCCGCCGCCCCTCTCCCCCGACCAGCTCCGTCTTGGCCCGGGGGAGTCAACTCTCAGGCCTGAGGGGGAGGGGGATGCTTCCCCAGACATGCGACATGCGACATCCGGACCGAAAGATCCGACGCTCCAGCGAGGTTGGAGCGGGCGGCTCTGGGCCGTGCGCAGCCTCTGGGCGCCCGCCTCCCCCCATCCCCCCCGGTGTTCAAAGCTGGCGGTGGGTCTGACGAGTGCCACTTCGACCGCAGCCTCCCCTGCGCGCGTGCCAACTTTGAGCTTGGGGGAGCGGGGGAGTGTCCACGAATGGTCTCCCCCTGCCGCACCGGGCGCTGGTGCACTCTGAGGGCGGAAGCACGAGGACCCGCAAGGCTCCCACGAGGTGCGGCTGCCGAGCGCCGCCGGCTGTACGGTCGAGGACGTGGGTCGAAAACTGGTGGCGAGGCGTCGGGCTGCGCACAGGCTGGCCAGGCCCCCCGGCAGCCCCCGCGGGCCTCCGCGGGCCCCCCCCCCCTGGAGAGCAGCCACAGCCGGCCTCAGCAGGGCCCCCCGAGCCGTGCAGGCCGGTCTCGGCCCCCGGGTGCCGCCCGCGGCGGGGCCCCAGGGGGCGCTCCGCGCCACAGGGCTGAGGCGCTGCGATCGCCGCGGGCTGCTCGGGTGGCCTGCCGACGCCGGCCGCGACGTCTCGGGGGGCCTGTGGAGGCCGGCCAGGACTGCCGCAGGAGCTCGACCACGAGCAGCCGTCCACAAGAGGCCTAACCCCGAGACCCCAGACGCCATTCACTTTCGGTGTGGGAGCGTCACGCTCTCCACAGCAAGACCGTCGAAGCCCAAGAAGGCAAGGGGGGGTCGTTCCGTGCGCAGCCCGAAGCCCTGCCGTCGAGAACAGGAGCCCCTTCCCCGAGGGCCCAAAGCCCCACGAAGACACCCCAAACGAACACCACTCGATGGCGGGGAGTCCAATCACTACAGTTGGAGCTCGACCACAAGAAAGCTTCCACAATAATCCCAATCCTGAAAACCCTAAGATGTCCATCGACGCTTGGTGGGGGCGTCACATGTTCCACAGCAAACGAAACCCAGGGCACCCTGGAGGCAAGCAAGGTCTCTCTTGGCATGGGTTTACACCGTAAGCGCATCCCTCCAGGTTGTGGGGTCCCAGCGACACCTGTTTCGTGGCGGTCGCTGAACCCTGGTTTGAGGACCCCAGCTGGGCCCCAAAGGATCCCCTCGGGACCTTGAAATGACCCCCAGGGGACCTTGAAGTGACCTCTGCAGGACCTTATGATCCCAACGGGACCTTACAATGGCCCCCACGGGACCTTACAAAAGGACCCCGCGGGACCAAACATTGAGCCCCACGGGATCTTAAAATGACCCCCGTGGGAACTTAAAATTACCCCCACGGGGCCTTAAACTCTGACCTCCGCGGGATCTTACTTGTTGGACTCGTAACGCTTGGTTGTCGGCCTCCAGCAACATCCACTGCGTGTGATCACACCCCGGCAACGTTCCACGCGTGTCAGATTCCGTCCGTTGCGTTGGCGTTTAGCGGCAGATGTCGGACCCGCATCGGTGTTTTGACTTTCAGCCTCAAGCTCTGTATAATGTATGTGATGTATGATGTGTGATGTATGTGTGCACGCGTCGCTATGTTATGTGCACACTGGCGTCTGGAAATTCAAAGAGTCCCGCGAAGACTGCAAGCATGGGTCCAAAGACGTCCACACCGTAACTGCGACACCGACGGCTCGGGACACAGAGAACGGCCACCACCCAAATCTTGCAAAAATCACCTGTGAGGTCCTCAGCCCTGATGGTTGGCCGGCCCGCTCTGCGAGAACCGCTTCTAGGATAGGAGGTGGACCTTGTCGGTCAGCGAAAAGCGTTTCGATTGGAAATGGCTTGCTTACGTGGCCTCCAGCGCTGAGACCCAATGGGTGGATCCGCGGGCACTTGCTCTAGTTAAACACATCCTCCTGCTTCTCCTTGTCTTCATCTTCTCCTCGTTCTCGCACTACCCTTCCCCCCTTCTACCCTGAATGTTCGTCCCATCCACACACATACATTCTCTCTCTCTCTCTATCTCTCTCTCTCTCTCTCTCTCTCCGGGGTAATTCTGATTGGGGCCCGCGAGGCACGAACCCACAGCTACCCCATGACTGCCCCCAGCCCTGATGATTTGGGAGGGTTGGACGCCCGAGTTAATGACTGCGGTCTGGGGTAAGTCTGGTTTTGGCCCCCGAGGCGCGAATCTGCAGCTACCCCTGACAGCCCCCATGACCAGAACTTCGAGGCGAATCCAGCGACGGTGACGAGGGCCTCCCACGAGGCTCAAACAAAAAAACGGGTGAAGGGTAGTGGTATGGGTACCTTTTCCTCCTACGAGGGTATCGATCGGTACCAGAGACAATTCGCCGGCCCAACGGGCCAGAGGCGTGCTAAGATCTCCGGTAACTGGTTAACAATACTTCTAGTTCGCGCGCGGGGGGCGGCCCCTGGGGGTCCCCCAGCGAAAAGTATCCCGACCGCAGCCCCGCCAGGTCTACTCAGAGATGGTTTTGAGCGCCTTTTTTCGACACCCCTCACGAGGATCGTGGCCTCCGAGGGGGGTGCACTCGACTACCCCGCCCCAAGAGGCCCCCAAGAGGCCCCCAAGAGGCCCCCAAGAGGCCCACGGGGGCCCCAAGACGCTGCCAAGGACCCCCACGAGACCCCCAAGGGGCCCCCAAGAGGCCCCTAGGAGGCCCCAAAGAGGCCACCAAGAGGCTTCAAAGAGGCCCCATAGAGCGCACGAGGGCCGGCGAGATGAGCGAAGCGATCAAATTAAATAATCTCCGGGGCGAAAGCGCCTAACGTGAAGGAAGCGCTCGGCGTGACCGAAATGCACCGCCCGGACCCGAGGGAGCAGGCCGATCCCAGGGCCTGCCGGCCTGGGACATGGCGCCCCGCGGGGAGGACGAGGGGGAGGGCGAGGAGGCGAGAGTCCGGGGAGAGCGCAACAACGAGGCTGAACCCGCAAGCGTCACGCCCAGCGCTTCGCCGGCGCGGACAGCGGGGCGGGCCGACAAAGAAGCGCGGGCAAGAGTTGGGAGGCGGGGGGGCAGGGAGAGCACGCCTCCACGACGACGACGACGACGTCCCGTCAGCCCAGAGCAGCGAGAAACGGCCCGCCTAAGCGCCGAAGTTGCTCAACACAGGCAGGGGTAATTCGGGGTTGCCAGAGGGTGCCCCTGGCCCAAGGTGCTCCCAGCTTTTCGCTCAACTTTGGAGCCCCTGGGGCCTTCTGGGCCTCGTGATGTGGTGCTCTGGAGGCTGCGGGGGCCTCCTCGGAAGTCCTGGGGGCACCTTGGGCCTGGGGCACTTCTAACAACACCCGAGCTAGGAGGAAGGGATACAGTGAGGAGCGGTTGCACAGCGTGTCGCGGCGGCGGCCCCAGCGAGATGCGATCCCTTGCAAGCTGATAGCGTCGATCTGGTCCCCAGAGCTGGAGGCTGGGAGAGGCTCGGGACGTTCAGCCTGGGGAGCGGGGACGTGGATAACTTGTAGCGCCGAAGTGCGCTCGGTCAGAACAGGCGGCGCGACATGCAAAGTCAGCGTTCCTGACCGTACCACGCAGAGGAGGAGGAGGAGGAGGAGGAGGAGGAGGAGGAGGAGGAACAGAAGGAGGGAAACATTTTACCCCAGACGTCTGATACATGGTATTTTGCAATACGGGGTCCCTGGAAGTCCCGACCCTTTTCCCAGGGCTGGTTTCTCATCCCAAATAATTGGTTGACCGTGCCAAAGACCAGCTGAGAGCCCCCAGAGGCCGAAAACTGCCAAAAACTTGTGGTCATGCTTTTCCCACGACGCCAGCAGGTCAGGGAAAGGAAGTGTACGCCGAGGTTGGCGCTCCTCTTCGTCGCTGGCCAGCTCCGCGTCGCGCTCGCGGAGCGGCTCGGCGCCGTCGCCGTCGCCGGCGGAGGTGGAGCAGTCGCTGGCAGCATCGTCGAGGTCGCGGGCGGCCGCCGCGCAGCTGGCCTCGGCGGCACCCCGCGGTGACGTCGCCTCGTCCTCTCCGCCGCAGGCGCGGCGAGCGGCGAGCCGATGCGGCGGCGAGCGGCGGCGAGGGGCGAGCGGCGGCGGCGAGCGGCGGCGGCGAGCGGCGGCTGCGAGCGGCGGCGGCGAGCGGCGGCGGTCCTCTGCCAGGTCGGCCCAGCGGGCGCGCACGGCCGCGGGGGGTGCGCCGCCGCCCGAGAGCGGGGAGTCCTCGAGGTCGGCCCAGCTGACCTTGCCGCGCGTGGCGGCCATCGCTGCCTCGCCGCAGAATGCGCCTCTGAGGGAATGCGCCGCCAAGCCCCAACCTCCTTGCGTCGTGGAGAGACGAGAAATTGTCAATCTTCGAAAAAGTTCAAATTCATTTGACGTACTTGATTTGCCAACTTTCCCGTCTGGGGGCCCTTACTGGGCCCGGTTCCGAGGAACAGGCCAAGGCCTCTGCGGAGCCACGCTGCGAAACCAAAAACACAACGCCGCACGCCTGGGGATTCGGGCGGCGACGGCTGTGTTGAACCGGGACGCTGCCTGAGCCAGAACGACTGCGGAGCAGGAGGGGGGCCACGACGAGGAGGGGAGGGGCTGAGAGGCGGGGCCCGGCTGCCCAGGCGACGCACTTCCCTCCCCTCCTCTCCCATGACGCCGGGCGAAGGTGGGAAAGTCCAGGGGGACGCGAGACTCGTCCGAGGGGGTAGCAGGGTGCAAACCCGACGAGGCATACAGAGGGCATCGTGGGGCAACGAAGGAAGGCGATGAAGAACTGCCCTGGGGAGGCACGTCACGCAGCAACGATCTGGGCGATGATCAATTTGGTTCTGGGCCTGCTCCTGGGCGTCGTCATTGAGATAAATTGATCGTCCTCTCCAAGACCTCCATCATTATTGTTCTTAATCGTCATCCTGGCTGCCCGCGAGACACGGAGCGCGATGATCTCCGCGCCCACTCCCAGGACCTGTCCGCATCCGCCGATTCGGAGACTTACTGAACCCCTAAGGACCACGCGGAGCGCTGGATGTGGGCATGATTCTCCTGCACAGCTGTGCTCCAGAGCTCCGAGCTCTGCATTCTCGTCGTCGTCGTTCGTTCGTTCGCTCGTCCCCCCCCCCCGGCCCCTATGCCCTGGCCTCCTCGTGATGGTCATGATAAGCCCAGGTGAACACCAAGATGGCCACAATAACCCCCAAGTCCTTTGACCCAGCCTCGAATGGCCCTACCTCTCCCTCTTGCAGGAGCTAAGACATGTGTGCCGCAAATTCATCCCAGCGTTTCGCGATATCCTCGCAAGCAAATCTCAAGATCGGTGGATGTGGGCAAATGCCAGCGCGGGGACGGAGCTTAGGGCTGTTGACTGCGCAGTCCTACTGGAAGCGTGTGCACCTTCTGCGGGTCTCTCTCTCTCTCTCTCTCTCTCTCTCTCCCTCGTTCCCTACCTTCGAGAAGTTCGACCACGGAACGACCCCTCACTCACACTCGGATCCTCTCTGCAGGATTTCGTCTGCACCTTGAGCAAGGGGACGGCCACGTTTCGAAATTTGCTCACGCGCGTTCCCCAAGAGATGGCCGTCAAGAGAAAGCAGGAACCGAGAGAAGCGATGGGGATAAAAAGGGAAGAGGAAGTCCACTGACATTTCCATGTCCCCCTCCCCTATCACATGCCTGGCCCACCCTCGCAGCAAGGCTGACCTGGCTTGCACACGGAAAGAAGTCTACTAACGCAGAATACTCATGTAACGTAATGTGGGCCATCTTGACACACGGCTTAATGCAGCATCCCATCATGACACCTAACTGGACAACAACACAAGCCCAATGAATGAAATGGCTGACGCTTAGGAAGCGATCTCCATTACTTCTTACCGCTCGATCGCCGCAGCCATGAACGATGACTGTGTTGACGGGGGGCGTCCATCAACATGCCTGGCGCGGGCGCAGGCGCGTCGCCGTCGCCTCCAGGGCGAAGAATTAGGATGGCCCTCCTCCATCCTCCTTTCCCCCCCCCTTCCTCCCGCTTGCTCATCTCCCTCCTCCGCCCCCCATCCCCCTGCGCACCGAATGGCGTTGTCCGAAAATTGGCCCACTTTGCAACGCAGCCGCACGGGACGCCGAGATCATTTTTTGCTGGCGGGCCGGCCAAAGTTCCACACGTGTGTCGAGCTCAACAAACCACCGAAGCGGAACCCATCCTTGACGTCATCCCGCGAGTGTGGAAAACACGACCAGTAAAATCTGCGCCTTCGGCGACAGATCCAGAAACATGCTTAGGCCTTTGGGCGTGGATGCCCACAGGCTGCGCTATGTAAACACGCGGCGAGCAGGATGAATCGAAATGCCTGCTGCGGCTCAACCGATACAGCTGTGAGCGCAACTCTGCACGGATGGTGTTGCCGATGACTGAAGGAAACCACCTTGGAAGCACAACAAAAATGCCGCACTCTTGCTGTGCATGAAACTTTCCGATGGGCCCATGGAAACGGACGGGGGACGAAGAAAGGAGACGGGAAACGGGAGGACAAGGGGGAAAGAGGGCACGGGGCGAAGGGGGGAGGACGCGCTAGGTGCGCTCGCGCCATATATCTATATGTATATATATATATACATACATACATGTATATGTTTGTATCTACATATATATATATATATATACATATAGATGCCATCCTACTTCTCCCACGCACCGTTCCCGGTTGCGCTGAACTGTTTTGTATCCATGGGGTGTGCCCGAGGACCTGGATCCCCTGACTGACCCAATCGAAACATGCGCCATCAGACAGGGGAGATTTGTATAGCGGACGAAGATGAGGTGGCGGACGAGCTGGAAAACGAACCAGACGAGGATGATGGCCAGGAACGAACAGGAGGGGCATGATAACGAGTTGGAGAGCAGGAAGAGACAGTCGAAACTCGAGGAAGCGAAAGGGGGGGGCGGCAACGACAAAAAACTTCCTCGTCGGGGCCGCCCCCGTCCTTCCCCGTCCGATTGTGGATCCAGCTTCCTCGTCATCAACGAATGATTCGGGCCCAGAAATGATGGGGCATGTTGCTGGCGCGGGTGCTCGGGCGAGAGCGCCGTCCCAACGAGCCCGCAGCGGGAGCGCCGCATCAGACGGACCTAGAACGTTCGGATCGTCAAAGAAAGCGTGAGAAAGAACCTGCCACAGCGTGGAAGTGAGGCAGGACGCGTCCGTCAGGGTGGACCCCGAGCGGCGCAAGGCGTGCGGTTCCGAGCTCTGCCACGTGAGCTCCTGCTCGTGGGGCTTGATATGAGCAAATTCCGCGCCCGCGCCTCGGTATGGCCGTCGTCGTCGTAAATGCCTTCGGCACCCCGTAGCAGCAACCCGGCAAACTCCTGGTATATCGGGGACTTCTTGGAGCCGCGCACCTGCAACCATATTGCCTGCGGTAGGTAGCGGGGGCGAAAGGGCTCGCCTGGCGTACACTCCTGCTGCCGCCGCCGATATGCGGACACCAAGAGGAAGTGGGCTCCCGCTCACCACTTTCTCACCATCCATTCAGGGACGATGCTGCCGCTCGAGACTTCCTCAATATCCACCCCTTCAGAATCGCTAAGTGATGACACGTTCAATACCAAATCTGAACGACCAATCTGGATGATTCGCTCGGATTGCTGACGTGATCTGGCTGCAGCATACGGGGTGGGCTCCCGCCTGCAACTTCTCTCACAGTTCACTCACAAGTAAGACTTTCGCTTGAGAGTGTGATGATAATACTGATGGTGGTGGTGACGATGATGACGATGGTGATGATTCTGGTGGTGTTGATGGTGAGTGATCGATGGTGATGGGTGTCAGTGCGACGGTGGCAATGCTGATCATGATGGTAAAGATGGTGATGATGACGTAAGTGATGTAATGTTTATGATGGTGGGGTGATGGTGAGCGGGACCAGAAGGGAGTGTGAGGGCAGGTCTGCGCGGGGTGTCCAAAGAAAACACGAGCCCGCTTAGAATGTGGAGAAACAACAAACTCGTGTTGCCAGGGACGGCGGCATATTGCCTGCTGCGCGCAGGCCCACCAACCGTGGGCACACAACCGCACACAACAAACCCGCCGTCACTTCGCACTGGCTCTTGGCAAGCACGGTGGGACGGTCGACACATTGCCCGACGTGGCGCACCTGGTGCGCGTGGCGCAGCTGGCGTGTGCGGCGCACCTCGCAGGCTTCGCGCACCTGGCTGGCGTTTGAATGTGTTCCCGATGGTTGTCGATGGCGGCCCGTGTCCATTCTGAGAGAGGGGGGGGGCGACTGATGTGCTGGTAGGACAGGTGGGAATGAGCGAGACGCCTTGTTGCTTGAGGGCAGCTTGATCCTCACCCTACCCCCTCCTCCTGGGTCTGGACAGGGCGTCCCGAGAGTCGATGGTGGCCCCAGGTAGCCCAAGATGAATTCCAAGATGGTTCGACACAGCGCGAGATCGCTTCAGATGTCTTCCAACATGCTAAAAGGGTCCCTAAGCCGCTCCAGAACGGGTCCAGGTGGCCTTGGGGGCCCTCCAGGACGCCCCCACGAGGCCGAACTCCCTCCGGAACCTATGGAGCAACCCATGGGTGCTGGCCGCCTTGCTCGTTCGCGTCCGATGGTCTTCCGAGGCCTCAGGATGGCTCCAAGAGGGCCCACGAGAGACCCAGGAGGGGGCGCAGGAAGGCTCCAAGACGGCCCCTAAGAGCGCCCAAGAGTTCCCCAAGAAAGCCTCGAGAGGCGATGTCAAGGGCTCCAGAGGGGGGACGCCAATCAGGGGCCCCATTTACTGATTGATGTCCCCCAAGGTAGTCCCAAGAGGGCCTCCAAGGCTTCCCAGAGGGCCCCAGGAAGGCCCCAATAGACCACGGAGAGGCCCCCAAGAGGCCCCCAAGGCGCCCCAAGACTCTCCCCACGACGCCCGTGCGATGCCACCCCCAGGATACCTCCCGAGCGACTAGGGCCTCTAGTCTCTGAGGCTCCGCGAGGCATCCACGTGGTGCAACGCTCCCCCGATATTGGCAGCCCTCCGATGCATCGTTCCTAGATGTGCGGGTGGGGGTACGCAAGGAGTTAAGTTGGGCTCATAACCTGGATGCTCGAGCCCCCCCTGCTGCTGCTGCTGCTGGAGTGCCTTCCCGAAGTGTCGCAGAGCTTTAACCGCCGTATGCCAGAGACACCGAGCTACGCAGAAGACGCCTGTACACCAACGACATAACCTACTAGGGCCATCTTGCGCCCTGGCAACGGGCATACACCCTGCGAATTGCTTTAGAAATCATGGGTTGAGAAATTCATAGTCTCAGAATTTGAATAAAAACCCAGAATGTCCATTCAAATCTTAGGATCTACATTGAAACATTAAGAATAATCGAGACTCTGGCCGAAAACTTGGGTTTTCTTAAGCATCGCCTAGAGTGTACTAATATATATATATATATATACATATATATATATATATATCACAATGTACACATGACATTGGGGTACACAACCCCGCCCTTACCACGCTAACGGGTTCCTCCTCCAACGATGGGTCCCCCCATGTTGGTGTGTGATGCATGGGTGAATCCGCTCTGTGGGTGTGAGGTGGCGCGGTGGTGCATCGGTCTGGAGGTCGTCGTTGTCGATGTCGTCCTCGTCGTCGTCCTCCTCCCCTCCTCCTCCTCTTCCGCCGCCGTCTCCGCCTCGTCGTCGTCATCGCCGTCTACGACGTGGTGGTTTTCGTCGTCCCCCTCCCCCTCCTCCGCCTCCTCCTCCTGCTCGTCCTTGTCGTCGTGTTCGACGTCGTCGTATGCGACGTTGTCGTCGTCGCACGGGGTGCGGGGCCGTGGCGCCCTGGGACCTATCCCATCAGGGAGGGGGGAAGCTGCGGGCCCTCGACCCGGGTCTGCGGGCCCTCGACCCGGGACCACCCGTGCATCCCCTGCCGAGGACAGGAGGGTCCGTGCACCGTCCTGGGGCCCCAAGTAGGTGGCGACATCCGAACGGCCCTACCCCCGCCAACCATGGACCCTCCTGAATCGATGGTAAGCGAGGGTAGGGTTCGGATCTCGCCGCGTGTTCGACGAATTCCGGACCCTACCCCCGCCACCCATCGAGTTGCCTGAATCGTTGATCGGCGAGGGTAGCGTTCGGGTTCGCCGCCGACTTATAATCATACCTCCGACATTAGGCTCCAAATGTATGTCTCGACCCCTTTCCTGGGACTGGCTTTCACCCTGAGCAGTTCTTGCCGACGCCCGGGCAAGCCCCCCAAAGGCCCACAATGGCACCAATACCAATGCCGTGATTTTCCCGCAGCGCGATGGGGTAGGGACAGATAGCCCTAGCCAGGCATGGTGTGGTACAGCCGGACCCAGGCCAGACGACCATCCTTCAAGAACACGAAACCCTCCACTGGACAATGCACACAAAATATCAAAGGGTACTCTCCCCAGGGTGAACAGGAACATCCAACAAACACGAAGAACACTAGGGTCTACAGGAAACAAACGCAATAAACATAAACTCTTGGCGCTTCGCGCGGAGTTCTTGGATCGGCGCTGGGCCCCCCTCCCTGGCGCGCGGAGCGCGCCAGGGGCGGCGCCGGAGGCGCCGCCCAGGGGGCCCAGCACGGATCCAAGAAATCCGCGCGGAGCGCCAAGAATTTCTGTTTATGGCGCTTTCCTTTCTTCGAGGGCACCCTCCCCGAACCCCGAAGCGACCGCGATCTCATACCTCGGTCCGACTGCATGACGGGTGCCCCTCGCACGAGACGCGAATCGGCGCTGGTCGACGCGAAAGGCAGAACTGCGAGGGTGCGCAGGGCTCCCCTGGATGTGCTGCCGAACCGGGGCACCCGAGCCCGAGCCCCGAACCGCCCTCGACCCGTCACTCCGACGGTCCGACTGCGTGCCGGGCGCCCCTGGCACGAGGCGCCGAGCGGAGGCCGCAGCAAAGGGGCGCTCACTGCCCGGCCTCGAGAGCGGCGCGGCCGCCCACCGCCTCGGCGAGGCGCCTCGCCGGGCCGTCTCGGCACGGAGCGCTGCCGTCGGGGGGGGGCTTTTCCAAGAGCCTGCAGGGCTGGTCGGCCCCCTGCTGGAGCAGAAGAGCAGACAACGGCATCAAGCACGTACTTCCTGTCATAGGAAGTACGTGCTTGAGTTGCTTGAGTCGTCTTCTGCGACAGGAAGTACGTGCTTGACAACGGCATCAAGCACGTACTTCCTGTCACAGAAGAGCACACAACGGCTCCCATGAGTTGCCACAGTGGCAACTCATGGGAGCCTCCTACAGCACCTTGTTGGCCCTCGCGGATCGACACTGATCGACGCTACGTCGACGCTAATCCACGCTAGCCGGAGCTGATCGACGCTAACTCGGCGCGATCTCGGAGTAGATGGGGTCGGAGGATCTCGCCGCATCGCCACTGCATCGGCAATGCATCGGCGACGCACCAGCGATGATCGGCGACGTCGGCGGTGCATCGGCGACGCCAGCGGTGCATCGGCGAGGTCGGCGCAGAGCAAATCGAGCTCCGCATCGAGCCGCAGCGGCGATGCATCGGCGATGCGGCGCGATCCTCCGACCTTCTCTACTCCGACCCCCTCTGGGAGGCCCAGGATGCAGCACGCACTCCTGGACGCCCGCGTGGCTTCCTCACGTCGGCGCTGCACCCGAGCGCGTCGGGCGAGGTGCCCAGGAGGCTCCGCCGGAGGGGCCCAGCGCCGGCCCGGGGAATGTCCGCGCGGACATCCTGCGCCGGCGCCAGGCCCCCTCTCGGAGGGCTCGGGGGTCCGAGGTGCCGGTCGTGAACGCTCTCTTGCTCGGCGTTTGGACATTGCGCGGAGGGGGCGGGGGGGGTCTGGCTCCGGACCTCTGCTTCGTGCGACCGCTTGCAACAGTGCGTCCTTGGGGGAGGGAGGGACTCCACCTACTTGAAACAAGCGCCCAAAACAACCCAGATCCACTCCGTGGGGGGGGGAAAGGGGGGGTGCGAGGGCCCGCGCCGATCGGCAAAACAATGAACAAGAGCACGATCACTTGGAGGCTCGGGTCGGGAGCCCATGCTTCGCGCGTCGCGGCATCGGCCCCGGCGACGCGCCGTGCCCTGCGAGCGGATCGCGGGCCGCTCCGCTCCGCGGGGCGGGAGGCCAGGGGCAGCTCGGGACGCCGACGCTCGGGAGTGGGGCCGTGGACAGCAGGCCGCGCCGAAGCGCGGTGGGCCAGAAGCAGCGGCGCGGCACGCCAAGCCCAAAGTTCCTGACCGCACAGGGGCCGAAGCGCGCGGGGCCCAGCCCCCCTGCGGGTCGCCCCCTTCTCCGAGAGCAAGGCAGGGGGGGGGTCGGCCCCACCCCCTTCTGGCCTACATGTAGCCCCTCCTCACCATCGCTCGGACGTCCATTCCCCGTGCATGTTTGGGTTTCGCGCGCAAAACAAGCAACATACACATAAACTGTTGGCACTCCGAGCGGATTTTTCGGATCTGCGCTGGACCACCCTACCTGGCGCGTGGAGCGCGCAAGGGGCGGCGCCGGAGGCACCACTGGGGGGGCCCAGCGCGGATCCAAGAAATCCGCGCGGAGCGCCAAAAGTTTATGTCCATGCCATTACTTCTTCTTTTTCGAAGGAGGCTCCTCGACGGCCCTCGCCGAGAAATGACGCTACCAAGGAACCCCACATACTTATGTTATGGCCAGGGTGATGATAGCTGAAGTGAAGCATGTGACAATGATGTTGGTGGCCGTTGCCCCGCCGATCCCGCAAGGACGACCGTCACGGATAGCGGCCGCGCTCCCGGACTACTCCGTGCGCACCCCCTGTGGTGTCGAGAAAACGCAACGCCTCCTGTGCCGTGGACGACCGTCACGGATAGCGGCCGCGCTCAGGGACCATCCCGTGCGCACCCCCTGTGGTGTCGAGAAAACGCCACGCGTGCTGTGCCCTGGACGACCGTCACGGATAGCGGCCGCGCTCAGGGACCACCCTGTGCGCACCCCCTGTGGTGTCGAGGAAACGCCAAGCCTGCTGTGCCCTGGACGACCGTCACGGATAGCGGCCGCGCTCAGGGGTGTCGAGAAAACGCCACGCGTGCTGTGCCGTGGACGACCGTCACGGATAGCGGCCGCGCTCAGGGACCACCCCGTGCGCACCCCTTGTGGTGTCGTAAAAACGCCACGCCTGCTGTGCCCTGGACGACCGTCATGGATGACGGCCGCGCTCAGGGACCACCCCGTGCGCACCCCCTTGTAGTGTCGAGAAAGCGCAACGCGTGCTGTGCCCTGGACGACCGTCACGGATAGCAGCCGCGCTCAGGGACTACCCCGTGCGCACCCCCTTGCGGTGTCGAGAAAACGCCACGCTTGCTGTGCCTTGGACGACCGTCACGGATAGCGGCCGCGCTCAGGGACCACCCCGTGCGCACCCCCTGTGGTGTCGAGAAAACGCCACGCGTGCTGTGCCCTGGACGACCGTCATGGATAGCGGCCGCGCTCGGGAACCACCCTGTGTGCACCCCGTGTGGTGTCGAGAAAACGCCACGCGTGCTGTGCCCTGGACGACCGTCACGGATAGCGGCCGCGCTCAGGGACCACCCCGTGCGCACCCACTGTGGTGTCGAGGAAACGCCACGCCTGCTGTGCCTTGCTGAGCTGAGCTGAGCTGAGCTGTGCTTGGCTGTGCTGAACTGTGCTGGGCTGTGCTGAGCTGTGCTGAGCAGTGCTGTGCTGCGTTGTGTGAGAAGGGGAAGAAGGAGGTGTGGGAGACGCGGGTGCGACAAGGCAGAAAAGAAAACCAGAACCCCACTAAGCATGTGGGGAACAATTAGCCGGGCGAAGGATCCAACCATATGCAGTTGTGGATACCGCAATTGCGAATACCATCTTCGCCCGCGCTCCCTATGTGGCCACGGCTCCCCGCCGGAGCCCGACATGCTCAGGAACACGTTCGTGGCCGTCTTCGCGGGCGCCGACGACGACAAGGACGGCGTCCCTCTGACCGAGGAGCAGAAGCAGGAGAGGGTTTTGAGAGCCATGAGGGAGGAGATGTCGGTGCACGTCGAGAAGGCGGAATACGACGCCCAGGCGCGGTTGTTGAAGCAGCGCAACTATGGGGCCACGATCCTCGTAAGGCGTGTGCCGAAATGGCCCCCGGCCGCCGTGGGAACCCTGCCACTGGGGGCCTTCGGTGGAGCTCCCTATGGGGCCACGATACTCGTGCGGGGTGTGCCGAAATGGCCCGAGGCCGCCGCGCGGACCCTGCCACTGGGGGCCTTCGGTGGAGCTCCCTATGTGGCCACGATCCTCGCGAGGGGTGTGCCGAAATGGCCCGAGGCCGCCATGCGAACTGCCACTGGCGCCTTCGGTAAAGCTCCCTATGTGGCCACGATCCTCGCGAGGGGTGTGCCGAAATGGCCCAGGGCCGCCATGCGCACTCTGCTACTGGCGCCTTCGGTGGAGCTCCTGCGGGGCCACGATCCTCGTGAGGGGTGTGCCGACATGGCCCGAGGCCGCCATGCGCACTTTGCTACTGGCGCCTTCGGTGGAGCTCCTGTGGGGCCACGATCCTCGTGAGCGGTGTGCCGAAATTGCCCGAGGCCGCCGTGCGCACTTTGCTACTGGCGCCTTCGGTGAAGCTCCCTATGTGGCCACGGTCCTCGCGAGGGGTGTGCCGAAATGGCCCGAGGCCGCCGTGCGCACTTTGCGACTGGCGCCTTCGGTGGAGCTCCTGTGGGGCCACGATCCTCGTGAGGGGTGTGCCGAAATGGCCCGAGGCCGCCATGGGAACCCTGCCGCTGGGACTTTCGGTGGAGTTCCCATGGGGCCACGATCCTCGTGAGGGGTGTGCCGAAATGGCCCGAGGCCGCCGTGCGCACTTTGCTACTGGCGCCTTCGGTGGAGCTCCTATGGGGCCACGATCCTCGTGAGGGGCGTGCCGACATGGCCCGAGGCCGCCATGCGCACTTTGCTACTGGCGCCTTCGGTGAAGCTCCCTATGTGGCCACGATCCTCGCGAGGGGTGTGCCGAAATGGCCCGAGGCCGCCGTGCGCACTTTGCGACTGGCGCCTTCGGTGGAGCTCCTGTGGGGCCACGATCCTCGCGAGGGGTGTGCCGAAACGGCCCGAGGCCGCCATGGGAACCCTGCCGCTGGGACTTCCGGTGGAGTTCCCAAGGGGCCACGATCCTCGCGAGGGGTGTGCCGAAAAGGCCCGAGGCCGCCGTGCGCACTTTGCTACTGGCGCCTTCGGTGGAGCTCCTATGGGGCCACGATCCTCGTGAGGGGTGTGCCGAAATGGCCCAGGGCCGCCATGCGTACTTTGCTACAGGCGCCTTCGGTGGAGCTCATATGGGGCCACGATCCTCGTGCGGGGTGTGCCGCAATGGCCCGAGGCCGCCATGCGCACTTTGCTACTGGCGCCTTCGGTGAAGCTCTCTATGTGGCCACGATCCTCGCGAGAGGTGTGCCGAAATGGCCCAGGGCCGCCATGCGCACTCTGCTACTGGCGCCTTCGGTGGAGCTCCTACGGGGCCACGATCCTCGTGATGGGGTGTGCCGAGATGGCCCGAGGCCGCCATGCGCACTTTGCTACTGGCGCCTTCGATGGAGCTCCTGTGGGGCCACGATCCTCGTGAGGGGTGTGCCGACATGGCCCGAGGCCGCCGTGCGCACTTTGCTACTGGCGCCTGCGGTGAAGCTCCCTATGTGGCCACGGTCCTCGCGAGGGGTGTGCCGAAATGGCCCGAGGCCGCCGTGCGCACTTTGCGACTGGCGCCTTCGGTGGAGCTCCTGTGGGGCCACGATCCTCGTGAGGGGTGTGCCGAAATGGCCCGAGGCCGCCATGGGAACCCTGCCACTGGGACTTTCGGTGGAGTTCCCATGGGGCCACGATCCTCGCGAGGGGTGTGCCGAAATGGCCCGAGGCCGCCGTGCGCACTTTGCTACTGGCGCCTTCGGTGGAGCTCCTATGGGGCCACGATCCTCGTGAGGGGCGTGCCGACATGGCCCGAGGCCGCCATGCGCACTTTGCTACTGGCGCCTTCGGTGAAGCTCCCTATGTGGCCACGATCCTCGCGAGGGGTGTGCCGAAATGGCCCGAGGCCGCCATGCGCACTTTGCTACTGGCGCCTTCGGTGGAGCTCCTACGGGGCCTCGATCCTCGCGAGGGCGACGATGGTGATGCTGATGACGATGATCAGGTCGGAGCCCATATGGGGGCGAGAAGATGCCCCGTCAAGCGGATGCCCCTTGGATCGGGCGACACCCGAGCGTCAGTTTGCGATGCGTGGCCATGCACCTCGCAGCCCACAGCACATATTGACCCTGCTGCTGCCGCGGTGAACTCTGAAGCAAGCGCAGAGCAGCTGACACGTCGGAGCTGCACCACAGTGCAGAACCCCCCCGCGTGGCCATGTTACCACGCCTTATCACCACTGGCATAATGGGCTCCTCGGGGCCAGGTTTCTTAGCCAGGCCCGTCGAAGCAGCAAATATCATCTCAGATCCACGCCCGAGGGGCGGCGGCCACTGGGCACCCCACCCAACACTTGGTCCCTGGTTCCAGACGCGAGCAGCGGCTCTCGAGCATCCGGAGGGGGAGAGGTCGAGGTCAAGTGAGAAAACACAAGGGAGGACGAAGGCTCGGGGAAGGGAGGATCGATGGGGGGGAGAAATAGGCTTGCCGGCGGCTTGGCTCAAGCTTCTCACGAGCTGCACAACGCGTCTCTTCTACTCCCCATGTGTTTCTGGACTCCTCATTTCCGATTCCTCCCGGGGGCGGTGTCTGTCAGAGACTTCAATCACTCGTGCATCGCATTCTCGAACTCGTGCCACTCTGTGCGCAGCAGCCGCTCTGGATGCACCATGGGGGCGGTGCCCTGCATGAAGTCCGCCCCCGCCTGCACCAGCGCCGCGAGCACCGTGAAGTGGTTGGCGCGCGACGTGAAGCTCAGCGCCGTCTTGGCGAGCAGGACGGCATCCCACATCTCTACCAGGCTGGGGCCGTCCTTCTGTTTGCTCAGCTTCTCCATCTGCTGCTGATTGGACCTGCCCACCGCGCTTCCCTCGTCGATCGTGGCACGTAACCGATTTCGTGCCCATCTCCTTGATCTTCTTCTCGTTGTTGGCCTCTGGCGAGGACGTCGACGCCTCCTCCGCTGCCTTGACCCACGCTCTGAACCGAACCCTCGCCTTCACCGCCACCTGCATCCCCGTGGACATCAGGGCCGTCTTCAGCTCCATGATCTCGATCTGCCTCTTCCTCATTGCCAGGTTGAGACTGAGGCGCATCTTGACCAATAGGAACCGCTGCATCTGCTTGACCTCGAACGTCTCGTCGTCGAGCTCGCTGCTGCCCATCCTCTTCGAGCCCTTCCCCCTGCCCTCTCCTGGTGGCCTACGCTGCCGTTTGCCCCCAATGCCGAAGAGCCTCTCGGGCCCCGGCCGCCCCCCTGGCGGCGAGACTTCAGGGCGGGAGCGGCGTCCTCGACTGCCGCGGGCAGGGCCAGCAGCCACGGCGCTCGGTAAAGGTTGAGGCAAGTGCGTCGTCACAATGTGCCGCTGTAGGCCTGTCAGGGACCCGAGCTCGAGTGCGCGCTCTGCTTCTGGGCAGACAAGCTGCTGCGGGGAGACCACTGGATAGTTCAACGTAGACTCATGTGCAATGCAAGACAAAATGGCGATGCGCAGCAGTGATATGATTCACCGCTGTTCGACGACACGCAGATGCTGATGCGCATGATGGGCATGGATTTGTTACCGTATAATTGGTGAACGTGTTCAGCTGCCCGTGCCCCCCCCTTTCCACCATGTGTCTGACGCGCCCGAAGTGCGCGCGCCGCCCGCAACCTCTTGCCGCGCTCAGGGCCATCACCGTTGAGAAGTGAACACAGATACCCACCCTCGAAGCACTCCTGGTCCTCGCTGTACCTGATGGGGTCACCGTCGGGGCCTCTAACCAGAGCTTCCGCAGACGTTTTGTGTTGAACTTCAGAAACTGGGCGCTCAGCTCGAGAACCTGGAAGACCCTCGGGAAGTCGCAGCCAACGCCGCCCAGAAACCCGGGCCTATCGTCGAGCCGCCCCAGATAGAACAGATCGTTCTTGAACTGCAGGGCCTAGGGGTTTGTTTTGTCGGCAGGGGCCGCCATCGGGGCGCGCGCAGGGGCCCCGGCGAACAGCTGAGGCGCAGCATTCAAGAAAGAGACCTTCCCGAAGACAGCGGCCAGCTCTTGAACGCGTAGGCGGGGTCGGCGGACAAGTGCTCGGTTGCGTCGGGGCCCACGCGCGACTATCTCCACGCTGGGGGGCGCCACCTTGACCTTCTTCCAGACGGCTTCCACCGTTATTCCTCCCACCGTTATTCCCCCCCCTCGTTCAGCTGCCGATAGATGGCGACCCCCTGACACAGTGCACTCGCGTATCGTACACCAACAGAGTCGAGCTTCTTAGCCTGGACCCCAGACAGAACTCGCGCCTCAAGGCCCGAGACCCTGGCCTCGATCACCCTGCTCTGCAAGGCCGGGCGCTTCCGATCAAAGAACGCGCAGACTCGCCAGAACTTGCCCCCCCCCCCCTCCACCCGATACGCATAGCCGCAAACCTGGCCTTGATTTTCTCGTCGTTTCGCCCAGAGGTCTGGGTCCGAGCCCCCAGGAACACCGAGGTCGCTTGAACTTCACCTGAAATGGGGGCCCGATGATAGTGCAGGGCTCGGGTGGAACGCCGAGATCCTCGACCAGCGAAACCTGGGCTGACCACCTTTTCTCCGCGACTCTGTACCAGTCCAACTTGCGCCAGAGCGGCGTCCAAGTGCCGATCGGAGGTCTCGACATTCACCGCAGCACAGTATGCATCAGGCACAACATGCGCACAAATCAGATCATCTGCATACTTACGCGCCCCGAGGTCGCAGTTCTTCTGCGCGACGGGGCAGCCTGCCGTCAACTCATGCACCGTGGAGGTCGGGAACAGGGCCTCCCTCCACTCCTGCGCCGGCTGCTCAAACGCCCCCCTGAACTTCGTCGCGGCGTCGGAGCCGCCCATGAAGCACCCCGCTTTGTTGCAGAAGGCGCCGTCGCCGTCGCGCGCATTCACCGCGCATGCCGCCCGCCTGTGACGAGACATCATGACCTGCGTGTCTGCTGGAGCGTACAGATTGATGGCCGTCTGATCCAAGTGCTCATGATCGACACTGGCGAAAGCGTTCGTCACGTCGCGCTTTGTCGCGATGTGGCTCAGGTTCGTGGCGCGCAGACGCCACTGGAGAACGTTGCCAACTGTCGGCGCCCGCGCCCGAGATCTGCCATTGAAATAGCCGTGATCCTCACGCGTTGGCTCACACTCATCACGTAGCTTCCTTGTGCCCACCTATGCTTTTCCAAAGATGCACAGACCGTGCAGCAACAGAGTGCCTGGTGTTCTCGGCTTATTATTCATCTTGCTCACCTGATAAGTCTGAGAGAGATTCCACCATGCGTCCAGCCTCTGATGTTGACGTACTCCAGCTAGCTGTGCCAATAGGCACTCTTGCAGAATAGGTCCGACAACTTGCTTCCGCTCCTCTCCTTGCTTCCGTTGTTCGCGGCATGGGGGAATCAGGCACCGCCCCTGTTGGCATGGGCCACTGCGGCGATGCTCGTCGTCTGGGTCCGCACGAGAACGTATCGATCATCAGCTGCAGGTCCGTATTCGCCTCGGTCCAGTGCTCCATCTCAGGATGGAAAGGGTAATCCATCTCAGCCGCCAGCGCAATGAAGGCATCCCGATCCACACGTGCTGCTTCAAGTCCGCCTTCACCTCCCGTGAGTGCCAGATCCTCGGCCCAGGTCTGCCGGTCAGGCTGGGAGTCTGGGAGTACGTAGATGTTGCGCTTTCTCGATCGTAGTCCAATGCCGGCCATCTCGAAACGCGCACGCCATGCCTCGTCGTCTCGATTGTAGCGTGACCCCATAGTGCTGAGTCCAATTGGTCCCTGAGATCAGCTTCACGCTCGAGTCGGACCCGCGTCCTCGCTTCCTTGCATCGTCGTGTACACTGTCGTCAATATCGGACGCTCTCGCACTCGCCATGCAAATTGTCACGCACCGCTGCGCGAGCCCGTAGTGCTGCTTCGCGTTCACGTGCCATGCGTACATGCCAGTCGGGCCGGTCCTTTCTGCTTGTAAAGTATCGTGCCTGAGCGCACTGTTGGAGTGTAGTGACCAGTTCCATCCAAGAAGATTCAAGAGTGTGATCGCATCCAAGCTGCTGCCTCGTTGTAACCGCTCGCCGTAAGCTTCGCCTCGAGAGCCTGCTCCACTTCTGCTCTGAACTGCTCCGCCTCGTCCCCATTCTTCATGACCTTGCTGAGCGAGAGAACATCCCAGGAAACACTGTTTTGTCGTGGCGCCGAGAACATGAGCTGGTAGTCTAGCTCTGCTACGATAATCATTTGATCGAGGATTGCCACACTCGGGATTACCAGTACTCGTCGTGTGACGTTATAGGCAATCGCGCACCGTTGAACCCGAACGAACCACGGCGCCGATATAGTCAAATGGTCGATGTAGCTCGCGCTCTTGTGTCCATGATAGGTCGGGCCGCACGGGAACAAGCTCGTCACCGCCGCAATGTTGCTGTCCTCGATCCATTATCGATAATAAGTGCCCGCCAGATGCTCCAAACTGCGACCGTATGGCCCAATGCTCGTGTTGTCCGTCTCCTGCAGCAGGCCGTCGTATGACTGGATGCCCATCCCGTCATTCAGGTCTGTAGACGCTACGATGGTGCTCCGATTCGGCGTGCCCTCCGTGATGCTCAACAGCGTCTCCGTCATCCTGCGCACCGTAGTCTCATACCGTGGGATTCATCGCGCCTCCGTACACCTGGGAGGGAAGTAGCTCACTACCAAGGTAAAGTCGAACTGTGTGGACTTCACTCGTACAGCTCCCATTCGTCCGTGTAGTGAACTTAATATGTTCCAGAAATGTAGTAGATGTGACCTTCGGAAGCGTCGTCGATTGAGCCATATCTCAACTCCACAGCTATTGTTCGCAGGACTCCCGCGCCATCCTCCCCAGCCAAGCTTCAGCATCATGAAATTATCGTGGTAAATCAGCTCATGCTACGTGGGATGGTCCTTATTTTTCTTAACAGTCGTGCCCGAGAGGAGGACCATGTCCGCAAACCTCACCGATAGCGCGACCTCCAGTCGTCTATCATAGTCTGCAAGAGACATGGCGTTCCATTGCACAATCTTCATCAGAGTGGCCACGCATCGCAGTGCCGAAAGGAGGTAAAAGGCAGCGAATGGGAGCGAACGGGCCCTCATGCCCCTGGAACCTCGGGCCAGGGCTATGATGATGATGATGATGACGATGACGATGATGATGATGATGATGATGATGATGGTGATGGTGATGATGATGATGATGATGATGATGATGACGATGATGATGACGATGATGCGAGGAGGAGGGAGGGGGCAGCGGGAGGAGGAAGGAACGCGGGGCGCTGTCTCTTCAAAACGTGGACCCAACACCACAGGATGGCTGGGAAATGTGCAGACGCCGGAGCGGTGCCAAGCGCTGCAGCCCTCCGGGCCCCCTTGGCGCGCGCAGCACGGCAGGGAAGAGGGGCCCGAGGCGCCGCCGTTGGGGGGGAGGTCTGGCGCCGACCGAGCACGGCCGCGCGGCCCGTCCAACCCACGCAGCCTCCGATCTGCTGTGCCCAATTAAGCATGCCCAGGGACACACACACACACACACACACACACACACACACATCAACAGACACAACCCCCCGGAATTCCCCATATCCTCTCATATTTCTTGGGGCGTTCGTCTTCCCCCCCGCTTCCCATATTTTCCCATATTTTCCTGGGAGTCGACGGTGGCTTGTGTCTGCATGTTTCTTCCCCTCCTGAATGTTCAGTGCGCGGCCCCCGAGGGCCCGACCCCGTCCCCCGGGGGGAGAGCTGCGTCCTGGATCCGCTGCCGATGGCCCCGAGCACGGGCCAGGACGAAATCGGCAGGAACAAGCCTGGGTTTTTAGAGGAGAAAGAACCATGCACATACACCGATTTTTGCCAGGTCCGTCCTGAGCCCAAGATCGGTGCATACGCCCTGCTGCCTTGGCCAGGAAGGCATGTGCACCGATCCTGGGGCCAAGGATGGGCCTGGCCAGGACCGGTACGTGTGCATAGTTCTCCTCGCCCGATTTTTGAGGGATGAAAGATCGCCCCCACCCTGGGTCATAAGTGCGTGGACTGTAAAGCTCCCAGAAGCTCCCAAAGGCCAGAGAGCTGCCAGGACGCCGCGCGACACACTCGATACGCAGGGCTTACCCCGTCAGCCCACAGGAGGTTCAGAGCACAGCGCCTCGTACACCAAGGTAGGGGCGTCTCTTACGTCTTTGAGGACTGAACGAACCGTACTTATCCTCGAGATCTGGGAACATTGGTGCCTCTGCCGCTTTCTGCTCCTCGAGGGTATATAGGCTCCGACCGGAGGCTTCGGCCAAAAGTTGGCGGCGCGCCCAAGGGAGGTGAGAGGGGGCCGGCCTTCTCAGGAGGCGGCGGGGCTCTTCGGAAGCCCTCGGACCTTCTGAGACGCCCTCCGTGGCTTCGGAGAAGGCTGAGAAGGCTTCCCAGAAGGCCAGGGGCCTTCTGAGCCCTCCGAGACAGCCCGCCCCCTCTGCCTCCCTCGTCTCTGGAGCTTCCAGACTCGGATCCTGGGAACCCCGCGCGCCGCGCGCGGAAGGGCCTCCGCGCGCGACCCCAGTGCGAAGTTGGCAGGAGCGCGAACCAACCCCACATAACACATGGCCGATCCCGGAAGCCCTGAACCCGCACAGATCTCTTTCAAGGGGCCCCAGGACACAAATAAATACACACAAATAAAATTATCCCCCTATTTTCCCATATTTTCTGAGTTTTTGTCTTCCCCACCACTTCCCATATTTTCCCATATTTTCTGGGGGATCGCCGATTAATTGTGTCTGTGTGTTTTTTTCCCTCCTGACTGAACCCGAACAGATCTCTTGGGAAGCCGATCTGTTTTTTCTTCCGCCGGCGTCCGCCGGCGGAGAGCCGCCCTCGGTGGACCTCCGCCGGCTTCCGCCGACCTTCCGTCGCTTTTTTCGCCGGGGAGGAGATGGCGACTCCCGCGATCCTCGGAGGCGAGGCCCTCTGCGGACGCGCCTCACATCGGCCGCGCCGTCGCGCCACCCGAAACATGCCCGTACGGCAAGCCCGCATCATAAGGATGCACGACAAGGATGCAAAGGCCCTGGAGGCCCATCCTTACTGTGCGGGTTGCCTGTATCGTGCCCGCGGGCAGCCGCCAGGTCCCAGCAGCCCGCTGCCGAGTGATGCGTCGCGGGGGGCGTCGAGAGAAGGGCGGCGCATCGCGGAGGGCCAGGGGGGCGCGAGCATCGCGCGAGAGATGGGAGGGCGAGGAACATGTCATGATACAGCCAGCCCGTATGATAAGGATGCGCGGTAAGGATGCCACAGGCCTTGGAGGGCCATGTTAACGTTTTTCGAACGGGGTTGGCCAGCGAAAGCAGCTAAGGATGGGCCGAAGGGGCAAGGATGCAAGGGTACCCTTGGGAAGGTTACCCATCCTTGCTATGCGGGTTGACTGTAGGATTGGCTCAGGGTACGTTCCAGGGTTTCTAACGTATCTAGCGGCTCTCGTTTTTTGCAGCCCACGTGGAGCATGGAGAAATGCGGGGAGGCCTGGGAGCTCTTTGGAAATCCTGGAACGTCTCGTTACGATGGCCTCTTCACCCGCTGGGACAAGAGAAGGGTAACGGTAACTGGTGCGGACAAGACCAAACATCAGGGCTCGAGCTGAACGGTGTAATCTTTTTTCTCGTGGTGTTCCATCGTTCTATCTTCGCGCCGCCGTTGCTGCAAAACGACATCAGAAGACATCACGGCCCATGAAATCGCCAAACCATTGCTTATAGCTCGAGCCGAGCCGGAAATCCCAGCTCGACTTCCCAGAGATGACCTGCCCCCCTCCTCCTGGGCGCGCCTCCGAAGAGAGGGCCCCTTACTGGGGAAATAAAAAGGCACCGATACCGCCACTCCGCGGACCTCTCCCCGGGTGCGTTCTGACCAGAATTTCGAGGCGAATCCAGGGGTGGCGACGAGGGCTACCCACGAGGACCAAAAATGCGAGAACGAGGCAAGGCCAGTGACATCTGTACCGATTCCTCCTCTGACCTCCTGGGCGAGCCGCCTACAAGAGGGCCTTCACCGCTCGGCCTCGATCGCCTCGTCGAGCGCCTCGAAGGTGCGGGTCCTCTAGAGGCCTCCTAGATGGGGTCCGAGTAGATGGGGTCGAAGGGTCGCGCCGCATCGCAACTGCATCAGCGATGCCTCGGCGATGCATCGCCGACGCCGGCGACGCATCGGCGACGTAGGCGTGATGAGAATCGGGCTCCGCATCGAGCCGCATCGTCGATGCATCGGCGATGCGGCGCCATCCTCCGACCCCGTCTGCTCCGACCCCACCTGGGAGGGAGTCCTCCGGCTCGACGAGATGGCGCCGGCCAGCCTGGGCAGGGGCCGCCCGCTGCCCGCCGCAAGCCGCCACCGTCGCCGCCGCCGTTCCCCACGAGGTCTTCGGACGCGTTGGGGCGCTGACTGCCCCCTGTTCTGCGCCTCCTCTCAAAGTCAGGTTCGTGCTGGGGCTGCAGGTTCCGCAGCAGGAGGAGAAGGAGAAGGAGAAGGAGAAGGAGGAGGAAGAGGAGGAGGAGGAGGAGGAGGAGGAGGAGAAGGAGGAGGAGGAGGAGGGAGAGAGAGGGAGGAGGAGGAGGAGGAAGAGGAGGAGGAGGAGGAGGAGGAGGAGGAGGAGGAGGAGGAGGGGCGCAAGACCCGATGCAGGCCTGGGCGGTTTGCGCGTTTTCAATCGGCATCCTTCTGTGGAGGCCGAACGAAGCCGAAAACGGATCAAAAAACCAAAAAACACACACACACACACACAAAAAAAAACGAATTTTCGAATCTACTCTGGCGGTCGACCACGGAACTATATCTGACAGTTTGTTGTTTGTTTGTTTGTTTGTTTGTTTGTTTGTTTGTTTGTTTTTGTTCGGTTGTTCCTTAGGGTTGTGGTTGTTCCCAACCCTCTTTGGTTGGGTATTCGTTTTGAATAGAGCAGTGTGGCCGCGTCCCTTCTCCCGCCCTTCCTCCTTTTCCCCTCCCGCCTCTTCCTGTCTTGCCCGCGGGGGGCTGCGATCTGTGAAACTGTCGCAATTTTCGAGGCCTGCTGGGGGGCCCAGCACAGTGAGGGCCACGGGCGGATCCAAATTAGACCTCGCCATCCCTGGGGGGCTGCGATCTGTGAAACTGTCGCCATTTTCGAGCCCTGCTGGGGGGCCAGCACAGTGAGGGCCACGGGCGGATTCAAATTAGACCTCGCCATCCCTGGGGGGCTGCGATCTGCGAAACTGTCGCCATTTTCGAGGCCTGCTGGGGGGCCCAGCACAGTGAGGGCCACGCGCGGATTCAAATTAGACCTCGCCATCCCTGGGGGGCTGCGATCTGCGAAACTGTCGCCATTTTCGAGGCCTGCTGGGGGGCCCAGCACAGTGAGGGCCACGCGCGGATTCAAATTAGACCTCGCCATCCCTGGGGGGCTGCGATCTGCGAAACTGTCGCCATTTTCGAGGCCTGCTGGGGGGCCCAGCACAGTGAGGGCCACGCGCGGATTCAAATTAGACCTCGCCATCCCTGGGGGGCTGCGATCTGCGAAACTGTCGCCATTTTCGAGGCCTGCTGGGGGGCCCAGCACAGTGAGGGCCACGCGCGGATTCAAATTAGACCTCGCCATCCCTGGGGGGCTGCGATCTGCGAAACTGTCGCCATTTTCGAGGCCTGCTGGGGGGCCCAGCACAGTGAGGGCCACGCGCGGATTCAAATTAGACCTCGCCATCCCTGGGGGGCTGCGATCTGCGAAACTGTCGCCATTTTCGAGGCCTGCTGGGGGGCCCAGCACAGTGAGGGCCACGCGCGGATTCAAATTAGACCTCGCCATCCCTGGGGGGCTGCGATCTGCGAAACTGTCGCCATTTTCGAGGCCTGCTGGGGGGCACCTTCAGTGGGGGGCTGCGATCTGCAAACTGTCGCCATTTTCGAGGCTCTGGGGGGCCCAGCACAGTGAGGGCCACGCGCGGATTCAAATTAGACCTCGCCATCCCTGGGGGGCTGCGATCTGCGAAACTGTCGCCATTTTCGAGGCCTGCTGGGGGGCCCAGCACAGTGAGGGCCACGCGCGGATTCAAATTAGACCTCGCCATCCCTGGGGGGCTGCGATCTGCGAAACTGCCGCCATTTTCGAGGCCTGCTGGGGGGCCCAGCACAGTGAGGGCCACGGGCAGATTCAAATGAGACCTCGCCATCCCTGCGGGGCTGCGATCTGTGAACCTGTCGCCACTTTCGAGGCCTGCTGTGATCCCCGTTTTCGAAGTGGCTAGGAGTGCTCAGGAATTGTAAATCATCAGCTTTATCAAGCCCTTTTCCTGTAGCCAGTGTCCTGCGAGTCTCCCGAATTCCGTCTGCAGACATATGTAACCCTCGCTCCGTCATCGCCCCCTTATAAAGTATCCTAAACTATTTGCGCCCCGCTTTTGCGCAGGGGTTGGGTACGTCGCCAGGGTAATTTTTCGGCTACCAACCTTTGTTTTTTTGTTTTTTGGGGGGGTCCTTGTGTGTTCTTGGTGTTTCCTTGCCGCTGTGGGGAAGGGAGGAGGGGAGTGGGGGGGAGGGAAGAGGACGGAGCATGGAGACCGAGGACGGAGAGGGAGGAGGAGGAGGACGACGACGACGAGCAGGACAAGGAGGAGGAGGAGGTGGAGGAGGAGGAGGAGGAGGAGGAGGAGGAGGTGGAGGAGGAGGAGGAGGAGGGGGCAGCTAACGCGAGCTAGCACACTGCGCCCCGACCGAGGCTCAAGCAGCTCGCGGCGCCACCCCCGCTCTTTTCCCCAACAATGAGGAACCCAAAGCCAAACACTGACGCTTTCGAGCGAAAGCGAGAGCGGAACCGCCTCTACAACCAGCAAACCTTATCCTTCTCCTCCTCGTTCTCGTTCTCCTCCTCGTCCTCCTCCTCCTCGTTATCCTTCTCCTTATCCTCCTCAACATCATCATACTCTTGTTCCTCGTCCTCATCATCCCATCGTCCTTCTCCTCGTCGTCCCCTTTCAGGTCAACACGGTTATCCTTCCCGTTGTCCTTCTCCTCTTCGTCTGTTCTCTGGCCCAGGAGGGCCCCAAAAGAGTCCCAACACCACGCGCAACAGGGAAGTCACCAGCAATGCCAAAGAGGCCCCAGGATCCACCGACGCAGCCGCTGAGATGCTCTGAACGAGTCTGAACGTGCCGAGAATGGGAAGCTTGGAACCTTTCCGGCAACAAGGAGGCGGCGGTAACTCGCCGGAGACGTCTTCGATAGCGAAAATTCTTTCTCCATCCGAATTGTCAATCGGATCCCTTCGATCATCCCCTTGCTATCAAGACCCCGGACGCCGAGCTGTCTTCCAGCACCCTGGACCACAGAAGTCTGGATCCGTGCCCCGGGGCTGGTCTCCTCCCGAGTCGTTTTGCTGACGGCCCCGGGGCCCGACAACGGCCCCGGGGGATGCAGACAGCAGAGAAAACCGCCCACCGCGAATCCTGTCGCAGCGCCACGGGGTCTCTGGGCCACCCGATTCGAGGGGCAACGCTGGGGGGAAGGACGGGCTCAGGGGGGGGGGGGGGAAGCGTCCAGCCTGCATCGGCGATGCATCGCCGATGGATCGGCGGTGCGCCCCCGATTGCGACTCCGCACCTTCCTGGGCGGGGTGGGCGCCTGGCCCTCATCGGCGAGGAATGCGCGAGTCCGGGTCGCTGTGCGTCCCCGCCCCTGGCCATCGCTCGGACGTCCATTCCCTGTGTTTTTGTTCGGTTTCGTGCGTGGCTTTTTCGCCAAATGATCAAGGATGCTCCTCGATGGTCCTCGCCGAGGAAAAAACGCGCACGTCCGAGCGATGCCAAGGCCCTGAGCCCATCACCCCCCGACTTGGCCCCCGATCCTCCCCATTCCCCCCCGCCACGCGTTTGGGAAGGGCCCGGCGCAACGGCGAAAGCTCGCCAGTCTCCGCGCGCGTCTCGCCGGGCCTGGCATCCAGAGGGTGGAGGAAGTCAGGGGGGGGGGGGAAGGGGGAAGAGGAGGGGCACGAGAAGGACCAGTGTAAAACCTAAACGCGTAAGCGATTTTTCAATAGATCCTCCTTCAAAACTACCTCTGCATCGGTCCCTACAACAAATGTATTCTAATTATGGGAAGTGGCCCATTAGAAGGCGGCCGTCTGAGATTGCCAAAATACCATTCCTGGGACTTCAACGCAGCGGATCAAGATGAGTGCTAGGTCCTGACGATCCTGAACTCTTTGCTAGAACACCACTCCTGAGACTGCTAGAACACCACTCCCGAGACTGCAACACGATGAAGCGGCGTGACTGTTGCGTCCCGGCTCGGTCGTCCGAATCGCGCCAGAGCACCATTCTTGGGACTTCAACCATACGAATTCTTCAAAACAACAACGCACACGTTGAAGACGAATGTGCGTGCCCCTGAAAAAGAGAGAGAGAGAGAGAAGGGGAGAGAGAGAGAGAGAGATTTTGAAACCGAGCCGCCATCCATCCTTGAAACTGCTGCGAACGTTCAAGACGAATGTGAACGGCGCTGAAGCGAAAGCCGCATATTGAAACCACCTGTGCTCCATCCCTGAAACTGCCGCACACGTCTGCGCGGCGTGAAAGCGAGAACCATACTTTGATAACGGCCCGCCCTCCATAAGTGAAACTGTCTCAAACTGTTGAGACAAATGTGTGCAGCGCTTGAGCAAGAACAGCATTTTGAAAACAGCCCGCCCTCCATCCTTGAATCTATAACGAATTCCAAGCTTCAGGATCATAAATGGTGAGGGCGTCTCAGGCGAAACGCCCAGCCCGCCCTGCCAACACGTCAAGAGGTGTGACAAGGACGAATCACTTCTGAGGAAAGTGGTGAAGGAGCAGGAGGAGGCGCGTGGTAAGGGAGGGCAGGAGGAGGAAGAGGAGGAGGGAGGAGGCTGAGGGGATTTGACATCAACGATCAAGGACCCCGAAGCGACGGGGCAGCGGGTGGGGGAGGACGACCGACATCGACAGAGGAAGACGAAGGGGGCGGTGGGAGGCGGCCCCCGCGGGCATCGCGGCACATGGGGCGTGCAAAATCCACCCCCGAAGAGGCGGAAAAAGGGGAGGAGGACGGAGCGAGGGGGAAGAGGAAACGAGGGGGAAGAGGAGGAAGGTGGATGAGAAACACGAGGAGGCGACGGGAATGGAGCGAACGGGAAGAGGAGGAGGGCGGAGGGGGGCGCTGCTTCTGCAAAGCCGAGGAGGGGCTGATGAGTTGCGGTGGCCGTGCTGCCTTAAGGCCAGGCGCGCCCGTACGCGTATCTCCTCGAAGGCCCACTTACTTTCCTCTCGGAGGAGGAGAGGAGAATCGACGACGCAGGCAACGTCATGAAGGGAGGCACAGGCTGCGTGCTGTCGGCGGTGCTGGACGGGCTAGACATTCACTGGGCTACCACACGTCCTGAGGATCATCGAAAGGAAAGCGCGGTCACACGGTCACAATGCAGCACGGCGGCCACCTCAGTGCGGGTTCGCCGTATAGACTTGAGGCCAACCCTGGACACATCGACTGCTTTTCAGTGCGCTGGACGTCCAACAGTGCCGAGATGGCTCCGACAAAAAGCGGATCCAATGCGAGCGAAATGCATTTTGGCGTCGGGTTCGGGGATATCTGGCGACTTCTGCTCCTCGTCCCCAGCCACCTCCTGGGCATGATCGGCGCTGAGTCGAAATCCGAATCGGACTGGCCGCGCCTGCACAATTGCGCAATGCAGCGGCGGCGCGCCGAGGGGGGACATGGGAGGGGGCAAGGCCTCATCACAAGGCGGCGGGGCAGCAGGCCGACTTGCTTGGCGCCCGATGTGGTGGGGGGAGGGAGAAGCTGATAGAGAGCAAGAGAGGAAGGAGGAGGAGGAGGAGGAGGAGGAGGAGGAGGAGGAGGAACACAAACAACAACTATTCATATCCAGATCCGCATTCTAGCCAGCGTGGGCCCCCTGACGGCATGTTGATCCGCAATCTGCGTTGTGCAATCTACGCAGAGCAACACACGTGGCGCAATTGAAGTTTGCAACCTATCTGGTGCAGTAGACGTGGTGCGAAATATGCGGTGCAGCATGCGTTGTACAATGTATGCGAAATAATCTACGCGGTGCAACCCATGTGGTGTAATCTATGTTCTGCGATCCATCACTTGCTCAATTTGAAGCTGTCCTCTCCACAGCTCGTGCAAACATCCCATCCTCCCACCCGCAACTTGGTCGCAATATCTCTTAAGACCGTGACGGTGGGTACCAAATGGCACTGGGCAGCGGCACCGGCGCCGACGACGACAGCGACAACGACGACGACGACGACGCCGCCGACAACGACTACGACGACACCGACAACGCCTCCAACGACTTCGACGACGACGACGCCAGCGACGACGATGACAACGACGACACCGAAGACGACGACGACGCCGACGCTGACGTCGACGTCGACGACGATGACAACGCCGACGACGACGCCGACGACGACGACGCCAACGACGACGACGACGAAGACGACGACGAAGACGACGACGTCGCTAACGAAGACGACGACGACGAGGGAGGAGGGAGGACGACGACGGCGACAACGACAAAAACGACGAGGGAGGAGGGGGACGACGACGACGCGAACGACGAAGCCGGAGGGAGGACGGCGACGCCAACGACGACAACGACGAGGGAGGAGGGAAGACGACGACGACGACGACGACAAAATAGGAGGGGCAACGACGAAACGCCGACGAAGACGACGAGGGAGGAAGGACGACCACGGCGACAACGACGACGGGAATGACGACGACGCCATGACTACGACGACGACGACGAGGAAAGACAGCGGACGACGACGGCGACGACGACGACGAGGGAGGAGGGAAGATGGCGAAACCGACGACGACAGCGCAAGAACGCGCGAGCACGCTTTTGTTGAAAATCCGTGTTGCGAAAGTCTGGTGCACGCGTAAACTTTTTAGAAAATCAGTGTTGCGAAACCCCGTGTTTTCCAGTTCGATGTTGAAATCCTTCAGAAGCCGGACGGTTTTGAAGAATTTCGGCTTGCGCGCGCGACGACGCGCGCGTCTGCGCACTTCGCCCCACTTGTTGCAAAGGATCCATGGACTCTCATGATTTGTGATAAACTAAAGCGCGCGCGTACTATTTGTTGCAAATGATGGCGGGGAAAACCGATACCGGTTTGGCTGGGATCGTATGAGTTCACATGTAGGATGGACATTGGGTCAGAATCCGATGTTTTTTACATAGGTTCCCGGGGGGTCTTTAACTCCGGGGGGGGGTAGAACATATTTATTAAGAAAATAAATTCATTCACTTAACGAACTTGAAGTTGTCAACTCCACTGCTCGCGCAATCATCCCACTCTCCCACCAGCAGTTTGGTTTGCAAAACCCATGCGGCAGCGAGGGCGATGAATGCAAGGTGTTGGCTGGTGCATCCCTGCGGCCGCGCAAGCCCGCGCATGTTCGCACGCGCAGCGGCCAGCTAGTTCGGCGCGGCCGACGCGAAGGCGGTGGCGCTGACCGCTCGGCACATTCCAACGGGCACTTCAGTGCGACTCGGCGAATTTGGCGGGCACGGTATCATGGCAACGTCGACAAAGGTAGACACGATGATGATAGTAGCGATGCTGGCGACGATGCTGACAGCGACGACGGGGCAGCCAGTGACGGCGCCGATGCTGATCACGCCGACGACGATGACGGCGTCCTCGCGTCGGTGTCAACAAGTTTTGGAAGAGTTCGACACGCGCGCGCGGCAGACGCGCGAAAGTGGCCCGCATTGCTTATTTGATACAGATCGTGCCACCCCAACACGCGCGCATGGGCGTTCGAACGATTTCGACGCCCGCTTACTAGCATGTTAGGAAAACGTTTAAAAACCATTGGTTCCTTTGAGACTTCGCAAGAGCGCGCGCGCAAGTTTTCTTCTCCAAACCAACGTTGCGAAACCCTGTGCGTTTATACATTGTTTGGACACTCGATTTAAACATCTTTCCAAATCCGAAGGTTTTGGGGGATTTCGGCACGCGAGCGCGACGACGCGCGCGCGTTCACTTCGTCGCGTTGTTTCGCAGAGGCATTCATGACAACTGATAGCGTTTTGATAAGAGAGCGCGCGCACAGAGTATTTGTTATGCAGAAGATGGCGGAAGGGGGGGCAAGACGGGCTCACACTCGCATTGGGGATGGGCGATGCGGCAGAATCACATGCTGATTGCAATGCGAAACGGGGGGTCATGAACCCGGGGGGGGGGGGGGGGTTCTAGTCACCTTTTAGACAGGAGAACCTACGGTGTGCAATAGATGTTGTCATGTCGCGCGCTCTGCGCGGTGCAACCACTGAGGTGCAATCGATGAGGCGCAAGTCGCTTTGGAAGGCTTGAAATTGCCAGCCCCATTGCCCACGCGATCACCCCACCCACCAACCCACCCGCAGCTTGGTTTTACGCGGCGGCGATTGCGATGAGTGCGCGGCGCTGGCTGATGCATCTCTGCGGGCGCGCTCACCCGCGCACGTTCGCGCGCGCAGCAGCCAGCTAGATTGGCGCGACCAACGCGGCCGCGGTGGCGCCGATCTCCGGGCGCCCCCCAGCGCGCCTCGCGGGCCGCCCCGACGCGCGGGCATTTCAGCGCGAGTCGGTGTTTTGGGCGGGCGCGGCGATGAAGGCCCCGGAGAGATTCCGACGCGCGTGCGCAGCCGACGCGCGCGAGTGGCCCGCATGGCACTGCGGCATGGCACTGCGTCACTAAGATCGCCCCCCCCCCCCCCCCCCCACCCCCCACCCCGAGCGCGCGCGCAAGGGCGACCGGATGATTTCGGCACGCGCGCGCGTGCCTCTATGTTCTCGGGGCGCCCGACGTTGAAATCCAAACGTCGCCGACGGTGAGCCGGCAGCTTTTGGCACGCGCGCGCGACGGCGCGGGCATGCGCACGTCCTTCCATTGCCTGAAAAAAGGTTCTTGGACATGGATGATTTGCGATAAACGCGCGCGCAAAGCGAGTTTTTTTTTTGGTTGCCAGGGGGTGGCGGTGGGCAATCGACCCCGGCTGGGTCGGGATGGCCTGAAGTCGCATTCAGAGCGAACGATGGGACAGAACCGCACGTAAATTGCACAAACCCTGGGCGGGCGAATCATTCCGGGGGGGTGGTAGATCCACATTCCGCTTTGAAGACGAGAATCCACGTTGTGCGCTCTATGTGGCGCAGCGGGCGTCGGGCGGCTCACGTCGCGTGCTCTATATTATACAACCTACGTTGTGCAACCCACGCGGTGCAATGCGAGCGGTGGGATCTACGCGGCAAGCAATCTGCGCGGTGCTACCCGCGAGGTGCAATCTATGTATGTTGCACCAGCCATGGTGGGCAATGCATGCTGTGCTCTACGTGGCGCGCTCCCTGCGGTCTATCTACGCGGTGCAACTCGCCCTGCCGAACTTCGAACTGTCGGCAACACTGCTCGCGCAATAAGCCCACCCACCCACCGGCAGCTTGGTTTGCTGAACCCACGCGGCGGCGGTTGCGATGAGTGCTTGGCGTTGGCTGGCGCATCCCTGCGGCCGCGCTAGTCCGCGCGCGCAGAGGCCAGCCAGTTTGGCGCGACCGACGCGGCCGCGATGGCGATGACCGCGGGGCGCTTCCCAGCGGGCACTGCAGCGCGAGTCGGCGACTTGGGCGGGCGCGGTATCATGGCGACGTCAACGACTGTAGACACGGCGGTGACAATAGCGACGCTGGCGGCGGCGGCGACAGCGACGACGGCAGGGCCACTGGCGGCGCCGATGCTGGTCGCGCAGGCGACGATGACGGCGCCCTCGCGTCGGCGACGCAGGAGGCCGACATGCGCGCGCGGCCGACGCGCGCGAGTGGCACGCACTGCGTTGTTTGTCGCGGATCGTCCCCCCCCAAAAAAAAACGAAGCGCAACGTTGTGTTGATGGATTTCTGCACGCGCGCGCGACGCCGCGCGCGCGTGCAGCCCGCCCCTTCTCTTGGAAGGACTCTTGCGACAGCGCGCCCACGAGGGCATTCGAACGCGATCGGCACTCGCGCGCGAGAAGTCCGTTTGGCAGTATGTTATGAGCACGTTGCAGCCAATGGCTTGGTTGTCAAGAATTCGCAAAAGCGCGAGCGCAAGCTCTCTGGGAACATTCACGTTGCGATGGCAATTGTTTATGCGTGCTTTCGGGGCATTAGAGCTTCACCCCCTACGACGCCAACGGTTGTTTAAAGGATAGCGGCGCGCGCGCGCGACGGCGCGCGCGCGTGCACCCCGCCCCTCCTTCTGCAAGGAAGTATGGGAAATAGCTGAATGTTGATCAACGGGCGTGGCCCTAGCATTTGCTCCCAAGGAGCATTTGTTCCCGAGGATGAAATGGGGGGTGCCCGTTTCGCTGGGATGATGCGAGCTCATCGTTCGGATGGGCGATGAGGCAAGATCACATGTATACTGCGATACGAAAGGGGGTCTCTAAGTCCGGGGGCGAAGGGTATTTCTATTACTTCTTGGGGGACAAATCCTATCTGCCCTCAGGGCGCGGGTGGTTGAGGGCGTTTCCTCTTCCGTCCGTCGCTCTTCCCCTTCGGGGGGGGGGCTATCCCTACCGCTTTTACACCCTCCCCTGGACCTGGACGGGGCGATCCGCGGGTCGTTGGAGCGTCCAAGATGGCCCAGGATGGCCCCAACAGGGCATCAGAGAACCCCAGGTGACCTCCAACGTTGCCCGACATACCCCCAGATGCGTCAACATGACTTCCAAAATGCTCCAACAAGCCCCAAGACCGCTTCAAGACGGCCCCGAGCGGCCACGAAACCTCCCCAGGAGGCCGCCAAGAAGCTACAATGCTTCAAACACCAGATAAAATCAATGAATGTTGCCTTTTCGCATTGTTGCTTCCGGTGGCCGCCGAGGCCCCCAGGCAGCTCCAAGAGGGCCCACGAGGGCCCCAAAAAGAGCCCAGAGAGTCAAACAATTACCCCAAGAGCGCTCCAAGAGCGCCCCAAAGAAGCCCAAAAGGTGATTTTGGGGGCTCCCGATGGGGGGAGGCTAATTGACCCCCCCCCTTCTTTGATCGATCTCCTCCGCGGTGGCCCCAAAATGGCGGGTGCCCAGGAGGCCCCACGAGGTCCCCCAAGCGGCCCCCAAAGGCCCCCCCGAGGCACCCGAGACGCCCAAGAGCCTGCCAGGACCGCCGAAAGACCCCCACGACGTCCCAATAGGCCTCCAATGAGCGCCCAAGAGATATCCCAAGAGGCCCAGGGGGGTGGGGAACGTCCAAAAGACCGCTGGCCCTTTTGCTTGCCCTGTTCCCCCTGTTCCTCCTTCCTCCTCATGCTCATGTTCTCCCTCCTCCTCCTCCTCCTCCTCCTCCTCCTCCTCCTCCTCCTCCCCCTCCTCCTCTTCCTCCTTATCAGCAGCATCCTATTAATATTCCTTGTTTCCCCAATCTTTCATCCATCCATCCAGCCTCCTCCTTCTCCTCTTCCCTCCTTCGCACGGTTCGGCCGTCCACCGTTTGCTCCCGCAGTCCCCTGATCACCCCAACCCGCCTGGACATAGTTTCTGGATGGGCTGGTGTGGATACGCGAAGCGTCTAGAGCTGACTCTTGTGAACAATGAATTGTTAACTCCACTGCTCGCGCTACCATCCCACCCACCCACCCGCAACTTGGTTTGCGAAACCCCTGCGGCGGCGATTGCGATGAGTGCTTGGCGTTGGCTGGTGCATCTCTGCGGCCGCGCCAGTCCGCGCATGCTCGCGCGCGAAGCGGCCAGTCAGTTTGACGCGACCGACACGGCCGCGGTGGCGCTGACCGCTGGGCACTTCCCAGCGGGCACCGCAGTACGAGTCGGCGACTTGGGCGGGAGTGGTATCATGGCAACGTCGACAACGGTAGCCACGATGATGACAGTAGCGATGCGGGTGACGATGCTTGCAACGACGACGGCAAGGCCACTGACGGCGCCGATGCAGATCATGTCGACGACGATGACGGCGCCCTCGCGTCGGTGATAAAAAGGTTTGGAAGGAGCTCGACATGCGCGCGCGGCCGCCGCACGAGAATGGCCCGCATGGTTTTTTTGGCACGGCCTAGCACGCGAGCAAGGGCGTTCGAATGATTTAGACATGCGGCGCAAGAGGCCCGCTTGGCCGAATCGAATGTAAATGTTGATGCAGCCATAGCGACCCCAATTCGGGGAAAGCTTCGTCTTGCATCAGCGCAGTGCTTGGCATTGCTTGGCGTTGCTTGGCAATGTTTGGTACTGCTTGGTCTTACTTGGCATTGCTTGGCATTGCTTGGAGCGCCAGGGGGGGGAACCCAAGGAAACCGGGGAACCCGGGGAAGACGGAGAACCCAAAGAATCCGAGGAACACGCGGCACCCAGGGAACCCGAGGAACGGGGAACCCAGGGAAATCCAGCGAACCCGGGGAACCCGAAAAACCCGGAGGACCGTGGGAACCCAAGGAACGTGGAGAACCCGGGGAACCTCCGGGTAACGGGCAAAGTAACCCCCGAGGCACCAACCTTTAACCAAAAAGGAAGTCTTTGGGCAAGCCGAAATGCACCAAATCCTATGGTTGCTAAAAACGGATCTTGCAAAACCACTTTTCACACATAAAGCAACGGGACACTGGATTTTGAAATGCCCGCGAAACCTAAATGACCAAGAGAATTGTCGCATGCTCGCGCGACTACGCGCGCTTGTGAATTCCGCCCATTATGTTGCAAGGGATCCTTGCGACAACACGTGCGCAAGAGCGTTCGATTGATTTCGAAAACGCGCGCGCGAAAAGCCCGCTGGGTAGAATTTGAAGGACATGTTGAAAACTATTGATTTCCCCAAACATCTGGCAAAACACAAACCCAAATTCTTTTTTGAAAGGTCATGTTGCGAAACCGTTGATTTTGACATGCTTTCGGGACACCCGGATTTGGAATCTCTACAAAACCTGGATATGTGGATGGATCTCGGCATGCGTGCAAGATGACGCACGCGTGTACATTTCGTCAAGCGTTTGTGGCAAAGGCTTTTTGGAAACTGCTGGTTCATGATCATCGAGTGCCAGTTTAGCTGGAATGATACGAATCCATATTTAAGATGGGCGATGGGGCAAAACGATATGTAAATCGCAATACGCGACGGTCGGTTGTGAAGTCCGGGGAAAAAAACATATTACTTACTCTTTGGGAAAGGGGAACTAACTTTGAGAAGCTTGGAATGTCAACTTCATTGCTTGCACAATCATCACCCACCCGCAACTTGGTTTACAAACCCATGCGGCAGCGATTGCGATGAGTGCTTGGCGTTGGCTGGTGCATCTCTTCGACCGAGCTAGTCCGCGCATGCTCGCGCGCACAGCGGCCAGCTGGTTTGGCGCAACCGACGCGGCCGCGGTGGCGCTGACCGCTGGGAACTTCTCAACCAACGGGCACTTCACTGCGAGTCGGTCGGTGACTTCTGCGTGCACGGTATCATGGCGACATCGACAGCGATAGACACGATGATGCTAGCAGCAATGTTGGTGACGATGATGACGATGACAACGGCAAGGCCAATGACGGCGCGGATGCTGATCACGCCGATGACGATGACGGTGCCCTCGCGTCGGCGATTGAGGTTTTGATACACGTCTTCGCTTGGGGTACACAGAGGAAGAGAGAGGGAGAGACAGAGAGAGAAAGCAACAACAACAACAACAACAACAATAATATCAAACAAGCAATGCGGATATAACGAAATTTATACAGTTGCCGTTTCCCCTTCCCGGTACCGACACCTTCCCACGAACTTCGCATGTAACTTCAGGGGGGGCTGGCGGCGTAGCAAGTCGCTGATTCTCAGTGGTGGTTTATATACCGACACCCTCCCCTGAGACCCACGAGCAATCCATTGGAGGGTAAAGGTGAGTAGATCGGGGCTTGGGTGCACTGCGATCGCAATACTTCATGCTGCACCTTCGGAAGGCCTTGGCTGTCCCGTCGCACCGCCACCCGCGCCGAATCCGCATCGAATCCAAATCGTCGAACGATTCGGATTCGGATCCGTGTCGGATCCACGTCGGATCCGAAGCGATTCCACACCGAACCCGTGCCGACCACGCGCCGAATTCCGTAAAAGAGAATCATGTACAGGACAGAAGAAGCCCCCCCGAAGATACAACGTAACAATGTGCGCGCGAGCATTCGCATGTGGGAGTGGTCCAGCTCCCACCCCCTACAAACGACCACTACCGTTAACTGGAGGGGGCCTAGTGACGACCGTTGCACGCGCCAGAAAACAAAGCAATCTCCCGTCAACGCTGAACCCCTGTCTCGGCCCTGTAAAAACCGACGAACGATGAGGATAGATCCGTAACCAGCTCCGAATTGATCCCCATTCCTGAGATCGGCACGCCCCAGAGCGATGATAATCTCAGGGATGCGCCCTCAGAAACTGGGGGGACTCGCATGATCGGCACCATGGTAATTAGAATGATGCCAAGCATAGGGACAAGGATACTGGCCTCGGGAAAAATAGCGACCACGCGTGCCACCTTCGCCGTTCAACGCCTCCCCCCCCCCAATGATTACAGTTGACAGTGCGTCTGATGAGTTTCCCTTCGGCCGCAGTCTCCCCCGCGCGTGCCAACTTTGAGTTTGGGGGAGCGAAGGAATTTCCTCTCTCCCCCTACCGCATGCTTCAAACTGGTTAATCCGGATGGGCTGATCTGACCAAGGCATCTCCGAGAGCCCGCAAGTCCAAAGGCTGATGCGTCAGGCGCCGCCGCCGTACGGGAGAGCGTTCCGGAGCGCCCTGAGGTCGTTTCCGAACGCCCAGGAGGGAATGTGTCCTCGTGCTGCAGGTTTCGTCGCAACTGACGAGACAATGAAGTCGCGGAGCGAGGAGCTCCCCCCGCCCTCCAGAGTTGAAGCCGGCGCATCGAGGTGCGCGTGAGGGAAGGATGCGCCAAGAGCCCAGCGCGCCAGGAATCCAGCGCGCCTGTCAATATAAAAGGCCACTCAACAAACAGCGCCCAATGCGCGTCTCAACTTTGAAATGGTCGCTCAAATATGGTCCATCGTCAACAGCCACCCAGCGGCGTCGCGTGAATGGCGGCGAAACTTGTGGGCCTGCCTGGCATCTGCCACCCCCGCCCGCCTGGCCTGGTGCCGCGCTCGAACTTCATGTTCCTGCTCTGGTCGCGCGTCCTGGCCTCAGACTGCCCGCGCGCGCACTCTCGGAACCCGCGCGTGCGCGGCGGCGCCGCGCCGCCGCCGCCGCCGTCGCCGTCCTTGGTCGTCGCCGCGGATCGTCGTCGCCGCCGATGCGGGGAGAAAGCAGAGGTGAAACAGGGAATCGGGAAGGGGGTTGGTGGAGGAGGGCGAAATAGGGAATGGGAAAAAGGGGCACAAGAACATCGAAGAAGGGAGGAGGATTACAGAAAACAAATAATTACCCCAGTGCGACCCTACCTAGAAGTTGGAGCCCCTAGGAAAGCAGCATCAGTTGCTATGCTATGCTATGCTATGCCATGCTATGCTGAGCTATGCTATGCTATGATATGCTGCGCTAGGATATGATATTCGATGCTATGCTAAGCTATGCTATGCTATTCTGCGCTGTGCTATGCTAAGCTATGCTATGCTGTGCTGTGCTGTGCTGCGCTATGCTATGCTATGCTATGC